GCAGAAAGCAGACCTGTATCGACTGTACAAGTCAAATCCTTCCCAAACTAACTGGAGCAACTACACACAATGTAAGAACGCCCTCACCACAGAACTGAGACGTGTAGAACGTATTATGGCTCCGCCGGCGACAGGATTAAGAACTCAGACGACTCAAAACTTCTGTGGTCGGTGTTAAACAGAGCCACCGGGAAGGGAAGGTCGGGTTTCCCTGCACTCTCCAGTCAGGGGCGTACACATGACAAAGACTAGAGTTCGGAGGGCTCATGCCTTCGACAGTGTGATATTGTTTTGGTGAGTGTTGTGTGTGTGTAAATGACGCTCCTTTCGCTACTGAGGCACTTCTGACGCATCTGTGTGAGTGCGTCAACAGTCCACACTAAAAGCTGGCAAAGCAATCAAAATGTCTTCTTGAAGATAGCCCGAAATGTGTCACCAGTGCCTTCCATGTTCAAGTTCATCTTCAGTATCCTGAGTACGCACACCTCGCCACTAAGCTGGACATCAATAAATTAACTGCCTGCTTGCCACTGAGCCACGGAATCTTACGCAATTTTAAACAAAAGAACAATTACTTACTGATAACCCTTACCTACCCACTTCAAGGTCACTTCTTTATGGTGTTCATGTTCGCAACGTATCTCAGAATAAAACGACACCCCTCAAACTATAACGTGATGGTGTTTTGAGTTCAGTGCAACGTCTCTCAAAATAAAACGACACCCCTCATACTATAGATGAACCGTCCCCACCTATCGTCTTTCTCCACATTCATTTGTCATTCTCATACAACATCCCTTAACCGTTTGCTTTCACACGTGTTCCTGACACAAACTTCGAACAACTTATGTTTACATATATACCTACACGTATCAATGACGAGAGCTCCACCAGGCCGGCTGCGGTTATCAATGTTGTTTCAACAAACAACTCAACACAAGACATGTTTTTCTAGGCTGCAGTCACAACTCCCTGGCTGTAACTTGTTATTTCAACTTACCAGAAGGACCAAGACATCGCCTGCACTTAAAAATGTCCACACAAAATGTCCCATTACAGTAAATCACAACCTTTTACAGACTCCAAACTTGAACCCTCAATCTAACAACCTTATCTCATTCACAATAAAAAACCAAGAACATTGCTCTTCCACAACTTGAACTACTGACAGACAATCCAACGATCACCAAAAGACCACTACAACAACGGGCGGACCTTCCACAACGCCCATGTCCAAACGAGACCTTCCTATCATCAACAATAACATGCTCAAAAATCGTGAACTTCCATTTGCAGATTCTCGACTTATCTTGTTACCAGCAAAAACGACCAACACAAAAGGTCTACTTCAATGACGTTGAAACCTCCAACGAGGCCCATTTCCGAACTTGACCTTCGTATCCTCAAGAATAACTTGTATAGTCAAAATGGTGACAATCCATTGAAGGATTCTCGAGTTATCTTGTCCACAACAAAAAACGCTAATATAAAAGGTCACCTACACTGACCTTGGGACCTCCCTCGAGGCCCATTTTTAGCCTTAACAATGGCCACACCGGGGACAACCTGCCTGCCAAAAATCGTGAACATCGAACCTTGTCTTCTAGAGTTATCGTGCATAATCTGCCAAACTGTATCTAAACGATCCCATAGCCTTCTCTCGAAGGCAATAACGACAAGGCCGAACTTCTCAACAACATATTCGTTCGGACCACCAAGGACAGTACCCATCCAGACTACTTGAAGAGACTCCCGAAGTTCACACAAAATGAACTCAGCACCATACAACTGTCGGTCGAGGAGGTCTACAATGTCCTACATTGCTTGCGTGCAAACAAAATCCCCGGCCCAGATGGTATACCGAATCGCCTCCTGAAGGAAGCGGCACCAGTGATTAGTGCATCCCTGTGCGAGTTGTTCAACTTCTCACTCGCGTCCGGCCACTTCCCAAGAGAGTGAAAACAGTCCAACATCTCACCAGTCCACAAGAAGGGAGATAAGACAGATCCAAACAACTACCGGCCCATTGCCCTTCTGCCAACAGTTGCAAAAGTCCTTGAGAGACTTGTGCACAACAGTCTCTACAAGCACCTTAGGGACAATAACCTACTGAACCCCAAACAGTCTGGTTTTAGGAAGGGGGACGGAACCGTCCTCCAACTTCTTCGTCTAATCGACGATTGGGGAAAATCGATAGATGACCCCAACGTCGCCTGCACCGCTGTGGTGTTCTTGGACGTGAGTCGTGCCTTTGACACCGTATCGCACGACGGCCTGATATGGAATCAGCGGCCTACTCTGCAACTGGTTCTCCGACTACTTATCTAATCGCCAACAACGCCATCAACGGTGTGGCATCTTCCTGGGGTTCTACAACAGCTGGCGTACCGCAGGGTAGTATCCTTGGCCCATTGTTGTTTCTAATATATCTAAACGACATCCAAGAGTTACCCAGCAAATCTAGCATCAATTGCGTTGCGTACGACACCTCTTTGTACAACTCCGGACGCACTGCCGTTGAAGTGGCCAGGACGACCAACGCTGACCTGTGTCTTGTCTCCAACTGGTTTCACGACTGGGGGTTGCAACTGCACCCCGACAAATGTAAAGTCATGTGTATCAGGACACTCCAAAGTAAAGTTAAACTAACCCCCCTCTACTTAGCAGGCCAGCTCGTTGAAGAGGTGACCTGTTACACACACCTAGGTGTCACACTTGACTATGCTGGAAGGAACACGCAGAAGGGTCTGCCGCAAGTCAAGGCAAGTTCTAGGACTGCTAGAAAAACTCAAAAGCAAGCTACCTCGTGAAGCCATGGAGATTGCGTACAACACTCTCGTCCGCACTAAGCTGGAATATGCGTCCGTTCTCTTAAGTAACATCAGCACCACGGCAGCTAAATCTCTTGAGCAAGTCCAGTACCATGCGGGGCGCCTCGTCTCAGGTGCAATGGCACGCACGCCTCATGGCAAACTCCTGGAAGAACTGGAGTGGGATAGTCTCGCAACCAGAAGAGACTTCAACAGATTAGTGATCATGTACAAACTGGTATCAGGTTCTGTCCCATCCCACCTCCAGCTCTTAATTCCCACCACAAGAGATAGCCGAAGACAACTAAATCTCCGCCTACGGAACGACACACATCTGCACGTTCCTTACTGCAGAACAACCACCTACGGAAGCAGCTTTGTTCCATATACCAAACGTCTCTGGAACAACCTTCCGAAGGAAGTGAAGGAGACCGCCTCCCTCCTCCAGTTCAAGCAGAGGTGTAGAGCCCACATGCTGTAAACTCGTCATCACCAGGAGTACCGTATGTAGTGATGTGAACTAAGCTAATGTGTTAGGACTGCTCCACCCACGCATACCAAGGCAGACCAAGGCCACGCACCAGTAATAGAGGACAGATGTTAGACTTAGCCCTCCTACAAACTTGTCACTGTATATCCGAGCACAGTAGAGTACAGTCATGAAAACTCCTCCGGTGTGAGATTCATTATTGAGTATTCTTGAGTGTTGGAGAGAACACTACACCGTAGGCTTGGTGACCGCCGTAGCAACATACTTGCCACGAGACTCCGCATTGGCTGGTGCCAGCTTAACTCCACGCTGGCCAAGTTCAACCTTACCACCCGGGGATGTGCCTGTGGTGCGACCTCTGAGACAGTCGCGCACTTCCTCCTGCACTGCCCCTTGCACGCAGCTGCACGACAAGACCTTGCCACAGCTGTGTACCGCCTGGTGAGACGGCCCCTCTCCACCAGTGTTCTACTCACGGGTCCCCAGGCAATGGCATTACACTGAACAAAAGCCTCTTACATGTCTTCCACACCTACATCACTTCAACAAACCGTTTCTAGGCACTTCCAGCTGTTCCTCCTAGCCCTGTTACCTGCACCTGCAATGTAGTATCAATTTTTTTCTCTTATGTGGCAGTCTCCTTTTGGACCTCAGACCTCCAAACGCGTTTTTAATGATGTACATATATGTAATTAATTAATCAGATTGACATAGGTTATTAAGTTTGTGTGATTGTAATGTATTTTGACATAATGTGCCCTGTGTGTTTTGTCCCTTTATGTTGACTCTCTAATATCAGCTATGCTGCATTGAGAGTATGTGTAATGTTCTGTTGCATTTTCAATAAATTAAAAAAAATTATTGAGAAAGTATGGCATTTAGGTGACAGGCATACGGCTCCTGTCCATAGTAGGACTCCGAGCAGCAAGCCTTTGAAGTTCATTCACACACCCACGCAAGAACCCACCGGAGCACGCTGGATGCAGATCAACAGGTCAGATAACTTTGTTTGTTTGACTCAGAGGCTTTTTCTAGTTGCTCATATATGTATGTGTTAACAAGTTCTGTTAGTTCATTAGTGACGCTGAAGAAGAGTGGCTGTCACTCAAAGCGTTCAGAATTTATCTCCATAATCTATCCAGTAGTAGTTCGAATTTTCAATGAGTGTTTGAGGCTTTATTTATTCATTAAATGTTCAAATTGGTAAAGGGATGCATGTCTTGATTAGCAACAATGGTTTGAGGCACATTTTTTGTGCACTGTTGAAGCTCAACTGTTAATTTGTTGACTTGTTCAAGTACAATATAGGTCTGGGCTTGTACCTAATCCCGTCTACCTGTACCCGTACCTGTACCTAAAATTTGTTTTGTTTTTTTATTTATTATAACATTTAGTAACAAGACAGGATGACGACATACTCAAGCTACAATGCTTATGTTTGTGTCGTCATCGTTACAAAGATATATACATGTAGTCACAAATACAGACATGCAAAGCATAAGAGTAATAAGGTAAACTAAAGTAAGCCGCATTATAACTAAATCATAAAATATGTAACAAATATATAACAGTATATGCAGGTACATGCATCTGTTGCTGCTATCTAGTTGACTTATGACACCGCTTATGATTTAACTGTGTAAGAATTATCTTCTTCCAAGATGGTAACTTTTTTTCATTTTTTGTATAATTGCAGCATCATGGGAAAGAAACATCCTAAAAGGCCTGGGAAGTACATTAAAGAACAACGGCTGCTTCTACATGTTACCAGCAGCTCGACAGGTAGACCAAAGAAAGTACACTTCACTGTTGGCCCAAGGAGGGGGGGGATCGATAGGTAACAATACAGGTTTGACTGAAACGGCTGCAGTTCCAAATCCACATGTAGATCTGCAACATGATGAACAGCCACCACAAGAAGATCCTCAGCCTGCTCCATCCAGATACAGCTTACACAAGCAGCGCGAGATCAATGCATGGAAAGATGTGAGAGAACCCATCTTCTGCACATCTCTGAAGCTGTCTGGACCTCTGTCCAATACGTGTTCCATATGTCGGAAAGAGCACACAGAGGACATGTCCTTGTATCGCTGTATGGACTGTGGACCTACTGCCACATTTTGCATTGAATGCCTCAAACAACAGCACAAAAACTCACTTCACCTGCCTGAAGTATGGAAGGTAGATGTTTGTTATTGCTATTTTGATTATAGAAATGCTTGTTAATCTGTCAGGTTTGAGGTCCGTCCACATAGACCCCGTTCATACCAGACTTCATTCAAAAAACAGTTGAAACCGCTAAATAATTAGCAAGCGAAAACCTGGCTAAAACCTCTAGTATTCATACCAGACTTTACATACTAGTAACCGGTTTTGTACAAATCCTGTCCAGTCACTGGTGAATATCCAATTAATCTGCCATGATGCAGTTTGAACAAGAATTCAGAGACTTGTACCTACATGAAAAATTGTAATTTCATTTTGTTTTGGGATTTTTCTCAATGACCACGGAGATGTGATGATTACATGTAGCATAATCTATTCTATATATGTTTTTCTGAACTGAAATGCATATGTATCTCATGTGAAAGTCCTATCCATGGGCAAGGTTTTGTTATAGCATTTAATATCAATTATGCAGATTGCCTTCATATTAACGTCCTCATCATCATTGCTTTATTCAGTAAAAAAATCGGTATTGCAGTATTCACCGAAATTTCGTCATTTGCATAAATTACATTCAATTGTGTACATCCCTGTCTAAGATATCTACATACCAAAAATTAGGAAAACTCATTATTTCTTTCTTGATTTATCCACTTTTAAAGATTTCGCTGGAAGCTCTCTTGCAGTTCCAGAACAAGCTGCTACTAGTGCTAGGGGGACCAAACCCACACCAATTGTTCCTGACAGGAAAAGATATGTCACCAAATATTCAAGACCATAGCATGTTCAGGACAAATGATACAAAAAATGGAAGCAGTACTAAGGTCAGCCACCAGGAGACCCAGATTTGACCTTACCCTTTGTCCTTCTTAGACCTACCATCACAATAAATATCATCACAATCCATAAAGGCATTATTTGAATTATTATTATGAATTTATGCTGACCACAATATGTATTGCGGAAACACAGGAAGACAGACAGACATGCTGCAAACAATACATACAATTTCATATAGATGATAACCGTTCCTCCCGCATTTCAGATTGCCACTGTAAGTGCCAACTTCCAAATTTGAATTTCCCGCCAGTAGATTAAGTTAGTATAGCTTCCCGCCAAATCCCTGCCCCCCTGAGCGCCAGGGTAGGGAGCCCGTCTGTCTGGGATTTAGACAAGGAGACAGGCAGCGCATAGGGCACAAGCAGAGAGGCAGAAGTCTGGTGTGGTTCCTGAGTAGGACCACAAAGGCCTGGGCACAGGAGATACCAAAGGATATTCTGTGGAAGGACGATGAGACCATACCAGTTTTACGCCAAGAACTCGCCAGGAACTCGCTAAGAACTAGACAAGAATTCACCAGGAACTCGCTAAGAACTTGTCAAGAACTCGTCAAGAAGTTAACAAGAACTTGTGCTTTGTTCCTCGAATTGGGATCAAGAAATCAAACTACCCTAGGAATACAATTACCAACAAGAACTCTACCAGCAAATTCAGAAACATCGAACTTATACGGCGGAAGTAGAACAGGGCGGATTTCAGTTTGTATTACTAACTCTACTGAAGATTAAACATTTATGACGTATTCCAATCAGTTTGTACGACTTCTTCCCTGAAGACCAACAGAGGTGAGTTCGGTAACACTTCCTCACACGTCCATCCCATGCAGAATAGCAGCAGCCACAGTAATAAAGTGGTGCTGCGCCTACAGCCACCATGCTGACCCCATGAAACTTGAATTATGATGTAAAAACCGTTTGAATAAACCCTTAGCGTTCAGACCTGTTTTTTGGTCCCCCCCCCCCCAAAAAAAAAAACACCTGACAGATGGGGGGTGTTGCAGTTGATTTGCGTTCAGAGTAGGCTAAATTTGGAAAAACTGTTTGAAACTGCTGAATAAAAGTCTGGTATGAACAAGGTCATACACACACAGTTTGACAGTTGAAATATTTAGTCACAAACACATTAAAGCCCTACCCATGAGAAGTAATGACAGGAACAGATTGCATCCAATTAGTGAATCTTGTTCAAAGTATTAAAATATTTTTCTTCTCTTTAATAACAGTGTACATGTAATTCCTACTGCCAGTATACATTGTTCTGCAACATTCATTCTCTGGAAAATCAACCTTGTGTTCCAATCATGAATCCAATGTGACTTTTCAAATCAGTCATGCCGTCAAAGGTGTACATGTATAAAAGCAGCTAATTGGCTTAGTATTTGCAACATCAAAAATGTCATCATTAGAGCTGAATTAGCTTTGATAGTTGTCTTTTATCTACCTAAACATTATTAAAAACAGTTTGAACATTAACTGCATGTGGCTCTAATGAGCAGCACAATGTAATTGCAAGCCAATGTCGTCTTACACTACTGTACTACATGTAGTACCTGATTTTAGGACATTGCAAGCCAATGATGTCATTCCTTTGAATTCTCTGTAAGGTAATGCTGACTTGTTTATCATAGTTATAAACTGATCCCTTTTATACATTTTAAAAGTCACTGTACCATCAGAAATGGAAAGCTGTCTTAGCCTGATATTAACTTGTACCATTGCTACAGGTCCTGGAGTAACTGTCTGCAGTGAGCGGTACAGATTTAAAACTTAGTAGTAGTGTGAATATAATAACATGTAATACAACTTATAAAAGTGATGATTACTTGCTTCTACAAGTGAGTAGTACTTAAAAAATATGTATTGTTGCAGTATAACATTTTCTAAATTAGTTGTATGAACATCCCATGACATGTCTTTTTGTCTTGTTACAATTAGGATCACTGTTTTCAACCAATGCTGGACATCTGTAACTTCCTTCATCGGGTTGACCATCCATCCTGTCCATCATCCTATTACAGGGAAGTCCGTGTGTTTGATAATTCTGGTAAGTCATCTAGCTACATCCTAAATGTTATCAGAACTTGCTACCAAATGTATGTTGATAATAGATGATGCAAATTTACAGCCCAATTCTAATTGCAAGTACAGGTTGTTGTGATATTAAGCAAAGTTGGACGACACCCCTCTAACTCTCTGTGATAGACTAGTCCATATCTGAATATTAAGTAGCTCAGTCTAGTAGAGTAACCCCAGACTCTAGTTCCCCCTCTTTCTGCCTGGACTCCAGACTGAGCACATCCACGTTTGTACCGTTACTAACCCTTCTGGATTAAAGCATCTAAAAAGGCAACTCAAGGTCTCTGTCCAAATCCACTGTCGAGTTCTAAGAGTACATCATGGTGTCAGAAGTTCAAGAACCTTGGCTTTTCAACCCTCAAGAAGGAGGAAAAGGCAAGTTCTTAAGACAAAAGTGCAGTTTTGAAGACAGCATGCCACGAGGTAGGAGAATTCCTATATTCCCTATAGCCTGAAGCAGGCGGTAGCCGTCAAACAGCCAGGAAGTGGCAGGTCAGACGTGCAGGCATTCCAGACAGAGCGTCTACATCTGAGCCTTGCTAACCCTGAACTCTGAACTCTAGACAAGTGTGATAATTGGAAAAACAAGCCCAGGCAGCTGCAAGTTTTTAAAAAGTTTGACAAGCAGAAAACAAGCCTAAAAGATGGCGGAAGGTCGCAGTTTGAGGGCACCAGGGCCGCTCGATGTAAATTCCAGAAACCTAAGCCTAACGTGGAAAAGATGGAAGGAAGAAATACAATTATATATTGATCTAGCAGTGGAAGACGATGCTGCTAATAGAAGAAAGACCCTTCTATACTTAATGGGTGAAAATGACACGGAAAGTGTATGGC